AGCACACATACCACTGGATGATATACAATAAATGCTGAGTCACCTTCTGTCCTATGCATCTCCCTGCGACATGCACAGCCTCGTTTCTTCCTTTATTTCCCCTCTCCTTTCTCACAGCTTTGCTTCATTTTTCTCTTTTACTTCTTTGTCTATGGCCCAGGCTCACCAGCGGTGCCTCACTCCCATCTCTTAGCACTTTCTAAGCATCATTTAGTGTCATTGAATCTGATCTGCTAAATCCCATCTGTGAGCTTTAGAAAGAGGCTTGGCTAAGGAAGCAGACAGGCCTCTGCCCTCCCCCCTGCCTGTTGCAGCAGGAACAAAGAACAGACCCCCGTTGATTTCCTCCCTGGGTCCCACTGCCTCAGGCCCATCACAGACCCACCAACTGGGAATCCTGAGGTCTTCGTCGCCATACAGGTGCTCGGTGGGCTCTTTCTAGCACAAATCACCCCAGCCCCCAGTCATCCAACAGTAAGGGCTGGCAATTACCATCTGCTAAGACTCTGTTTTCCCTTCTTCTCTTGGCTCGTTCCTTCGCATCCTTCTCCACAGATGCCAAGAAGGCCTCTGACACAGAGTAATTTCAAACATTAAGAAGAAAAATTCAAATACTATAATGAGTTCTTTGCTCAAATTCAGCAGAGTGGCTTTAGAACCACACTCTCACACATACTCACACAGTACACACACACACACACACACACACACACACACGTACACACAACTCGCAGGCAACTGAAATGACATTTTCTTAATTTGACATTAAATGGTAATCTGTGTGATGTATTATTATCCATGATGGCTATGACTGTGCTTCAAATTTGAATTATGTCTTTTAAAAGAGTTTTTCTTTGAAGAGAGACTTTTTTGTTCCATTTAGCATAATGAGCTTCTGAGCTAAGCGACAGAGAAACTATCTGGGACCCTTGAACAGTGGAGAGTAAATTGGATGATTTAGAATAACCGAATTCAGTTTACAAAAGATTGACCAGGGAAAAGCAGAGAAAAATCTCCTAGTGCTGTCACCTCTGACCACTCGTAAAAGGACTGGGTGATCAGTAGGTTTTTGTTCATGGGCTGTTTGTAAGCCCAGAGGCTATAATTTAAGGGCCTGAAAGCCACAATCAATAAAAGCTGATCCTAAAGAAAGAATAAAAATTGGGGCGACAGACACTGTGCTTACCTGAGTTTATTTCTTCTGCACTCTGCAGGATACAGGTTATCATAAAAATAAAGAAACACATTTCAGAAACCACTCTCTGATTTATATGTATATAAACCCAGAAGGCAAATCAATTACAAATGTGAATCACGTCATTTCCTTTAACTACCAATACCGAAGGGCTGCAAATTCAGAGGGCTTGCTTTAAATCAGGAGATCTGATTATGGGCACGACTGCTATGGGGGTGAGTTTGCAGAAACAAGGCTGTCCCAATCAAGGGACCTCAGCTGTGGCTGTATGAGCTGGAAATATGAGTTAGTAGACTATATTACCTCAACAGCACAGCTTAAATATCACATACAAGCTTAGGGGGTAAAGAGGCCATGTTTTCATTGAAACAGACCCAAAAGGTTGTTTGACGAAGACCCAGGAAGGCCAAGGGGAAAAAAATCAGAGTTTATACTTCCTTGTGGAAAATAAATCTAAGACACAAAAGACTATTTCAGCCTCACCAGATAGCTTGATATTACACTATTGCCTCAGTGCAGGCCTTCTTGCTACATCTGCTTATAGCACTTCTTAACAGAAGAGGAGACCTTCACAGTAGCTTGTGGAGGACTGATCATCGTCTTGTTCAAGGTGGTCCTGCATTCATCGTCCTCTTGATCTTCCTCCATAAGCAGCAGTTTCTTTTCTGTCTTCAGGACAGCTTTCTGCTGCACAACTGGGTCATCAGAATTCATCTCTTGAATTAAATTGGCTGGAGGAGAAATCAGATGTGAATCGATCAAAAAAGGTCTTCAAAAGACTCCACTCACGAGAAAGGATGGTGTTGAAAATTCATGGGGAAGAGCTTAAAGAAAAGAATTTGAGCAATAGAA